AAATGTGTGTTATAGATATTGTGACCTATTCATCCATGCATAATTTTTTTATTTGTTTTGACCTGGTAATTTTTAATCAAAATGTCTCTCAATAATAAACCCCTCCTTTTTCATACATCTGCAAGCTTGCATTCAGATATGCCTTCATCCAATCAATAATGGTGGACTGAACCTTTTTCATTCGGATGTATGAAGAAAATGTCTGTCATTACTTCTTTCATTGCGACTAAGTTCCAGTTATTATAAAACTCAGTTGTAGACTTGCACTGTTTACAGTGGTTTAGGTAATGCCTTTGATTGGTGCACTGAGATAATGTTTGTTTTATGGGTCAGTCTCACAGTATGGGTGGGTTAATGACTAATGTGGCAGCTATTCTCTTTTGTCTTACCTGTGATTCGCCCACTGTGTTCTGTCAGTTCATGAATCTTAGTCCATTCCTTTCCTTGCTTTTGGTAAATGTGCACAACGTTGCTGTTGGGACTTACTGCAATTTCTAATAATAAAAATGATATAATATTATTATTTTAAAGTTTTATGCACATAAAATAAACCTGAAAACCTGTTCTATAGAAATGTCGTGCAAACAAACCCCATGTATAAAGCAGCGATATTACAGTACGTTTATAGCAATCTGATGATTCGTATGAAGAAGTGCAGCTTTTCTCCCAAAGACAATCTGATATTCCTCTGAGTAGATTATAATGGATGAAAATGGCACTGCAGGCAGCAACATTAGGACCCTGAAGGGATGTAATTTATATTGAAATGTAGCTCAACTAGTTTGCTCTTACGTGTCCGGTCTTTGTTCCAGGCATGACAGGACAGAGGCTCCAATCCAAAGCTATAGAGGGACATGTTTCAACAGGGAAACCCTGGAATGCACTGCAGATGTTAGGAAGAGCATGCAATCATGAAAATGTATGTGACTAAAAAAAGGAAGACAGAGTGTTGTTAGCTTGGAGTTCTCCACCCAAATCTTCTTGATTGTAATTTTTCTAAATGGTATCATTTCACCTTGGTGAGCCATTTTCATTCACATGGTACATTATTACTACAGTCACATTTCCCAAGATATGGAATCATTACCAAAACACAACATTTCCATAATTACAATTGAATTAAATGAATTTTGCAAACATGTTTACAGTGTTCAGTTCTACAAAAGAGACATTCTCTATCCAATTCTTTTTAGATTATAGTTAATTTACAGTACATTGGTATGACTGAGCAGTGATTGCAGATTCGTACAGCAAACAACAACCCTACCTGACTATGGAAAATTATCTATGCCCTCACCTTTATCTCTTCCTCTCTTTTGCTAGTAATATATATCCTATATCCTTGTGCTGGAGAGCTTTTGAAAGGCTATGTTCGTGGACTCTGGGCAGTCGACACGAATGAGCCTGAACAGTTGTAAGAAAGGCTGCAGAGGCAGCAGGGAGGAGATAAGAGAGGGTGTGTCTTTATATTCTGATATAGGCACCTGGCCTGTATGGTCTTATGATAATGGGTTATATTCTAAAAATATATAAATGATTTTTTCACATAAATGGACAGTTCCCTCAAAAATGAAAATTCCGTCATCATTTATTCACCTTAATGCCATTCCAAAGCTGTGTTGTCTTCTTTCTTCAGTGGAACCTACAAGAAGATATCTTGAGAATTATCTTTGCATCCCATACAATAGAAGTCAGTTTGGTTTGGCTACAAATATTCTTCAGTGTTCTTTTGTGTTTCACAGAAGAAAGGAAGTCATGCAGCTTTGGAACGACATGAGAGAAATGAAATGGTGACAGTATTTTCATTTTTGGGTGAACTATCCTTTTAAATTACACTTCACTTCTTATATTGTGTTTTATCTTGAAATAGTTCTTTCAGCTTGTATTATTGTATTATATTATCCTTTGTACGTCAGTATGGGTAAAAGTATCTGTTTCAAATAAATAAATAAATGTATATGCTGAACTTACGAAAATTAACCATGGTTTTACTACAAATAAAACCAAAAAAACATTGTTACTTCAGAGGCAGACAGTAACTAAGTACATTTACTTGAGAATTGTACTTACGGTAAGTACACTTTTTGAGCATCTGTACTTTACTTGAGTGTTATTTTTTCTGGGAACTTATGACTTTAACTTCACTACATTTGAAAGACAAATATTGTACTTTTCACTCCACTACATTTCTATCAAGGTCCTCAAAGTAGAAAGTCGTTACTATGTAGCAACTTTGAAAGTCAGTGGGTGATTTATTTCTTCTCTAAAATGTGACTCTTTTTGTTCAGACAGCTTATCAGTAATCACTCTTGGGGCTACATGAAGTGATTTCCCAGCATTTTTTGAACACTGATCAGTTCCAAATGTGATATTTATTTACAACAATTCAATAATAAGAAGTTAATATTGTGGTATACCCCCCCCCAAACAAACAAAAAACAGAGATATGTTGGTGTTTCTGGTGAAGTATTTGCTTTGTTGAAGTAAAGAACGCAATTTCAGTGGTGGTTATGACCCTGGTTGAATAAGGACAACACTGGGATTTGGGTTTATGTACAGACTTAACCTTTTCAGCTGTCATTAGATCCAAATCACACAGGCTCTCAGTTTTAAACACATGGAAAATAAATACTGTTCTTTTGAAATTCAATGTCATGGCAAGGGGGCTGCAAAATATAATCTAAACACTTAGCACATGTAGCACATCATGTGAGTCAGAATGTAATAAATGAGCTTGTCTGACAACCTCGATCTCTTCTCAATACAAAAACAAGCCCTTGCCCTTTAAGGTTGTCAGGAGTAACGGGCTTCCCAGATCGAGGCGCATTGACGTCAATCGTTGTTTGTGATTGGTCATAACCTTTTCCGGTGAGGCGTCCATCCAGCCGAGGACTGTGAGGAAGCCAGTGTAAACGTCCACAAACTCACCGAAGCGACTCAGGTATGAATACTTAATAGCAGAAGTCTGCGCTGTAACAGTTGTTGATATCGATGCGTGGGCTGACGGCCTCTTGGAGAGGTTAGTGTAATGCCGTCGGCTTCCGTTGTTGTGAGAATGTAGCTTGCAAGATGGCGTATTGTGCTGCTTGACAAAACTGGTTACAGAAAACACAGAGCTGCAAGAGGCTGCAGGATTAGACGTTTACACACGTGCTGTGTAGCGTGTATTTACAATGGCATGTGTTTTTTGCACTGAAAGAATGTTATGTTCACATGACCGATTAGCGTTGAATTGAGAAACGCCTGTGGGGATGCGAACTGCGAATTTTATGAGCTCAGGGGCCCCGGCAGGGACTAGGGGCCACAGTATATGCCTGTCAAAATGCAACGCTGCTTAAAAAAAAATAATATGTTACTTGAGAGAATTTTCTGTGCTGCTTGGCTTAATCACTGACGGATTTATTAGAAATATAGGAGCCATGTTAACTGTTGAACTTGTTGCAGTTTGACAACTTATTATTTGAAATGGTTTAATGTTGTATTGAGTTGCAGCAGCATTATGCACGGCTTTTTAAAATCACTGGTGCGATGTTTTCAGTGAGATATGATCACGAGGTCAAGTTTTTTTGTGTGTGTGTGCTGTAACAGTTGTTGATATCGATGCGTGGGCTGACGGCCTCTTGGAGAGGTTAGTGTAATGCCGTCAGCTTCCGTTGTTGTGAGAATGTAGCTTGCAAGATGGCGTATTGTGCTGCTTGACAAAACTGGTTACAGAAAACACAGAGCTGCAAGAGGCTGCAGGATTAGACGTTTACACACGTGCGGTGTAGCGTGTATTTACAATGGCATGTGTTTTTTGCACTGAAAGAATGTTATGTTCACATGACCGATTAGCGTTGAATTGAGAAACGCCTGTGGGGATGCGAACTGCGAATTTTATGAGCTCAGGGGCCCCGGCAGGGACTAGGGGCCACAGTATATGCCTGTCAAAATGCAACGCTGCTTAAAAAATAATAATATGTTACTTGAGAGAATTTTCTGTGCTGCTTGGCTTAATCACTGACGGATTTATTAGAAATATAGGAGCCATGTTAACTGTTGAACTTGTTGCAGTTTGACAACTTATTATTTGAAATTGTTTAATGTTGTATTGAGTTGCAGCAGCATTATGCACGGCTTTTTAAAATCACTGGTGCGATGTTTTCAGTGAGATATGATCACGAGGTCAAGTTTTTTTGTGTGTGTGTACTACTGTGAATATACACATTTTCACACATGATCAGAGCTGTAAAGTGAGGAAGAGAACTGTATCCTAGATCATAGATGCATTGCTGTCTATGTAAGTGATTGATTGTTGTATTATAATAACACAATACTAATAAAATATATGTCTGTTCACCCAAGATGCAACAAAAATACATAAATTCACAACACACACATTTCATAAACACAAATATACTGATATATATATATATATATATATATATATATATATATAATTTGCCTTTTGTGGTGATAACATGCTATCATTATGTGAGCAGAGTCTCTGGATAAATGGGAACGGCTGACAGTTGCTGATGCCCTCGAGACGGTCCAGTTTGAAGATGGCCAGAAGATTGTTGTGCAGGGTCAACCAGGAGATGAATTTTTCATTATTCTTGAGGTAGCTTTCCTTGTTAAATCTATTAATTTTTTTGACACTGTTCCCTTCCAACAAGTTTTTGTGTTAGAGTCATATGGTTTTGTATACTTCTTCGATCTTCACAAAAAATGGAAATGATGAAATTGTTGTAGAAAGTGTAGCCCTAAAACATCAGAGATGTCATGGAAGAACAGATGTATTGATTCAGACTTGTGTCCTCAGGGTTCGGCAGCAGTCCTGCAGCGGCGGTCGGAGAATGAGGAATTTGTAGAGGTTGGAAGACTTGCACCATCTGACTACTTTGGTAATTGTGTTTTCTTTACTTTCTGCAAAATCCGTCATGCCGCGTATATTTAAATATATCCCAGAAATAATATATATATATATATATATAATTTGCCTTTTGTGGTGATAACATGCTATCATTATGTGAGCAGAGTCTCTGGATAAATGGGAACGGCTGACAGTTGCTGATGCCCTCGAGACGGTCCAGTTTGAAGATGGCCAGAAGATTGTTGTGCAGGGTCAACCAGGAGATGAATTTTTCATTATTCTTGAGGTAGCTTTCCTTGTTAAATCTATTAATTTTTTTGACACTGTTCCCTTCCAACAAGTTTTTGTGTTAGAGTCATATGGTTTTGTATACTTCTTCGATCTTCACAAAAAATGGAAATGATGAAATTGTTGTAGAAAGTGTAGCCCTAAAACATCAGAGATGTCATGGAAGAACAGATGTATTGATTCAGACTTGTGTCCTCAGGGTTCGGCAGCAGTCCTGCAACGGCGGTCGGAGAATGAGGAATTTGTAGAGGTTGGAAGACTTGCACCATCTGACTACTTTGGTAATTGTGTTTTCTTTACTTTCTGCAAAATCCGTCATGCCGCGTATATTTAAATATATCCCAGAAATCCCTTTGCTAATGTAATTACATATTGAGTCTATGTGCAGTGTCCATTAGTGCACGTTAATGTGTTTGTTTGTTTGTTTCCCTATGGCTCTTTTCTGATTTCCCTCCATATGTGCTTCAACAGGTGAGATCGCTCTGCTCATGAACCGGCCTCGTGCCGCCACCGTGGTTGCTCGCGGCCCGCTGAAGTGTGTAAAATTGGACCGTCCCCGGTTCGAGCGCGTGCTCGGCCCCTGCTCAGATATCCTAAAGCGAAACATACAGCAGTACAACAGCTTCGTGTCTCTGTCGGTCTGAGGCGCACTAGGCTCTTTCCTCCTCTATTGCAGGGTCCACCAATGCAAATCCGCTTTATTTTCTTACTTTTCTTTATGCATTTTCCAACACCCAGGTGCCCATTCACTTCAGTGTTCTCTCTCTCTGTCTGTTTTTTTCGATTCGTGCCGTACCCTGTCGCGTTTGTATCCATCGTAGATTTAACATAAGGCTGATTGTTAGTTTTGCCTGAGAAAGGAGCCAATCATTGTGCCACAGATGCCTGTCATGTGACTAACTAACAAGGTCTGTCGGGATTGTCTCTTTCCTCCAAATTGCTTCACGTTTCTGTATAACAGTGTTTCGAATGGAAGGAAATCAGTGGCAGGGTTGACAGTCATGTAGTCTATCTATCTATTCAGTATATGATGATGTATCTTAATTGAGGCATCGAGTTTCAGATTCTGTTTTCCCGCTTTCATTTCAAGCATTTGAGTATAGGGAAGCCAAAGGCATAAATCCATGTGTGTTATGTTGTTTTCTTGGGGATACTGAAGTTAAAATGTCACCATGTTTATCGTGGTGAGTAGCTTTGCTCTTTTATTGTTATAGCTGCACATATATAGTGTATGTAAATGATTATATATTAGAAGTAAATGACCATAACCATATTTTTTTGCACAGTTTGATATATATATATATATATATATATATATATATATATAAAAAGACTTTATATGCGCCTGCTGTTTTTCGTTGTGGCATTTGATTCCATTTTATTGGACTTTTTTTATTTTCTGTTTGTTTTGTTCTTTTCCTTCATGCTACACATAGGCTTGCACTGGACTCTTATGTAGAGCACACCAGGATTAGACAAATCTCCTTTTGAAGTTCAATTTTGTTTCACATTTTCTCCCATCTGAAATGCCACCTGCTGCAAATGCTTTTATTTGTTTGTTTCCCCCACAAAAAGGTGATGTTATCTTGTATTCAACATTGTGTTTAAGTACAGAAAAAAGTACTAATTTTTGGTTTTATTAATTGTTAAGAAGAGTTACAGAAATGTAATGGTTAATGAAATCTGACAGAGTATGTGAGGATCCTCCTCGACAGGAAGTGACCACTTGGTGACCTCTTTAGCCAAGTGAAGATCCCATTAGGTTTTCTTTCTCGATGAGAGTGTATGTGAACTGTTTTGAAATCCCAAATGTCCCCCCCCCCCATCTTTCTTTCATAATTTAAACTGAAATAATTAAAGTGTCCTTTTTTGATTGAGATTTAGATGATTCTCCTTAGTTAAATCCAAATCTTAAAACAGGGACAGTATTTACCACTTGTGTTGAGTTCATGGTGTCTGTATGCCATGAGGGTTAGGATCCATCAAATGATTGGAATAGATCTGCGATCCACTACTGCCACCATCTTAATCTCTTATCAGATATTGTTCTTGGGGTTCTCAGAGTTGTGTTGTATGATTTTACTGGGTGGTACAATAGTGTTAACTGTTGCTGAAGGTAGATTTTAAATTGTCACACAGAGATATTCTTGTATTATTTGAAAACAGTTGATGTGAATTTTAAATTTGTGTATGTTTGTTTTCCACACATCTTGCGTTATGTGATCATACAGATGTCCAGCTCCTTTATATTGCAGACTCGTGCGAATGTAGGTTTTGAAAAGTGCCTGATTTCTTTACTTTCATAATGCATAGCCAACAGACATTTCCTTGTAGTTTCCCCCCCCCTCCCAATTCTATTCATAATGTCAGCTTGTTACCTGTATTATCTGTAAACTACAATATTTTTTTCATCGGTATATAGATACACTTAGCAGTGCAATTTATTTAGACTTGAAGCTCCAGTAATTAAGAGTTTATTTAACTGAACTGTCCCAGAATTGCTATGTTAATTAACGAAAGGTGCAAGTGAACTGACCTAGATTTTGTGTTTTTATCTTCACCATTTGACTTTGTCCTACTGACCACATGGAGGAATTGTTGTCTTTTTACTCTCTGACACTTGATTTAAGAGCATTTTAGAGCCTTACTGCATTGTCACTGCAGTTGTCTGGGAAAATACACTCATTCACAGATTCTGCCCCTTTAGACTGGATTATAATTTCAGTATCGGTCAAATCTTGGTGCTGTAGCTTTAAAGATACAATCTGCACCCTTAATGATATGTGAAGAGTAGCATTTGATTAACCGTTCTACTGTCTTTTCACTGAGTGGTTTATGCCTTATGATGGGGTTGAATAAATAAACATGTTTAAGTTATTTGTTTAGTCCTTAATGTAAACTGTGACACCATTTGTTAGGCATAAAATTGCTAAATGGTGTACTTGTTATTGCTCATATATGCATTGCTTTGTTCATTTAACTTAATTTGGCAGTGCAGAATTGATCAAATGAACCATAAGTCTTTCCCTGTTTTCTGTAAAATGCATAATTTAAACTTTATTGTAATTCTCTCCCTTTTATGAATAAATTAAGTGATTTGTTCCACCGCTAATTCAATTTTCTGCTTACTTTTATTATGATTTATTAACAACTTCAGGCCTATTTCTTGAAGAACATTCAATGATACAATCGAAGTGAGTTTGTATTACCATCCTCAACCTCTTTTTTTTTATATATAAAGTTTGCTTTTCATTCCCTGGTTGTGACTGCCAATGGTGTTTTCTTCTGAAGTTTTCAGTAAAACTGTGTTCTAGTATGTACTGAGGAATTGATATATTTGCTTGTAGGCTTTTCCATCAAGGCTTAGAGACTCCTGTTCACCCATTCTTCAGTTTGTTAAGCCCTCAGCACAGAGAGTTGTAAAATGTCAGAGGACCATTTTTCTATTATTCTTTTTCTATAACTGTGTACGGTTTGATTTCATTGGATGTGCTCAAGTTGTAAACCTTTTGGTATAGATTGTCCCAATGGCAGGTCAAGCAATAAAATGATTAATTCTTGAATATGTAAGTGTCTTGTGTTTCCTGTACTGTAGAGTATTTCTCTCAAGGACTACAGATTCAAATATTACTTGCGGCCTGTAATACATGGTTTTTGGATTACATATTTAGGCATAAAATACATTGAATTAATCATACTGGATCAAACATAAATCCTGGATCATTTACTTTTAATTCCGTAAACTACAGTACATCCCCAATGAATACTAAAAGGAGTTCCTTGTTACAGTGTAATTATACATTTAAGTACTGAGTAATCGTAATGAACTACATGTACTTACTATGTTTAGGGTTAGGATTAGGGCTTGGCTTAGGGTTACTTGCATGTAATTTTGCATAATTAATTGTTATTATAAAAGTAAGTACATGTAACAAGGACACCTTAAAATAATGTGTTACCATACTCTATGTATACAGTGAGATTACAGCAATAATTAATTGGTAACACTTTATTTTAAGGTGTCCTTGTTACATGTAATTACTATTATAATAGCAATTAATTATGCATTATTACATGCAATTAACCCTAAACCACACCATAATCCTAACCCTAACCATATAGTATTACTCAAATAATATTTCTCAGTACTTACTAAATGTATAATTATACTGTAATAAGGACACCTTAAAATAAAGTGTAACCTTGTAATAAAAAAAAATCATTTCTAAGAGGCTATTTTGCAGAAGACATCTCACTGTTAAAATGGCTGTATGGTATATTGATTTTGACGACTGTTATTTAAGGACCCTTCATACTATCCATCCCCCAGGGAGTTGACTCTTCCCAAAATATTTGTAGTCATGTGAATTAATGGCATTTTCCCAGAGATTTCTGTATCATTTTGCCCCACCCCTCCACACCCAATACAACAATTGTCATCCCAACTGTCTGGCACTGACAGTTGTTCCTTAACCCTATCGTGTAAAAGAAATCTCAGTTCCGTCCACTACTTCTAGTTTCCTTTTTTTTTTTTTTTTTACGAATTTTTAATTTCAACGTGCACTGTTTACTCCTTTATCTATGAATTTAATAATATTTTCACAGGCGCATTGTACTGTGATCATAGACTGGAATGAGAGAGAGGCAGGCAGACTCACGAGATCTCCGAAAGCGTACGAACCTTGTGTTCGTCTTTTTCCGGAAATATCGTGAAATACCCCGGACTGCCACCGACCGCTGCTGCAGCTGAACAGCAATCGTACCAGCCCACAGGCACCTTAACATCACATTTCAGGCTATTTCTTCAGATTCCTCGCTCGTCGGATACTACTCGTGCACTGCAAATGCAAGCCATTAAGTGTGTCGTTGTCGGCGACGGGTAAGACGTTGAAGAATAAATGATAAAATTGCTTATTTTTGCACGGAGGTTTTCTTTTTGGGAAAAGCAATTGTTGCGAGAAGGAGCTGGGGAGCGGGGATTGTGGTTTGGCTCAGCGGATGAGTGAGATCTGCTGAGACAGAATTGAGGGTTTTATAATTATTAAACATTTTTAAATATTACCTTTCTCCGAAACACCGTAGTAGTTATCATTATGGTTTCAAATGAGATTGTAATGAGCATAGGCTCTGTTTAGTGATGGCTGTTTTGTTAAATATATGCTCAGGCGTTTACAATTGTGTGCATTTGTTCCATTTTTAAATGAGTCGATTTCGCTTTAAAGTATTGTGGCAATGATTCCATGCAAACCATGCCAACATTAAACGCGTCTCGTGCAGTGTAGAGATGAGATGGCTATGTAATGATGTAATGTTTCACACCTACATCGCTAGAGCTCGGGTGGAAATGATCGTGTGCTTGCTTGTGAGCCTGAACTTTATCCTTGACCTTTTCTTAAGTCATTCTTTTTTATCAGAGCGCATCATAAAACCAGCCGAATTCCTTCCTAAATTCTTAAAACGGTATTTCCCCCAGCGATGATAAACATTAGGGATGCACGATATATCGGCCACCATATCGGTATCGGCCGATAAATGCTCATTTTTTCTGTTATCGGTATCGGCCCAATAAGAAAATTTGGCCGATATCTTAAAGCCGATAAATAATGCATTATTTCCTTCAGAGACACTTCAGATGCGCGCTGTTCGTTTGCAGCCTTTTGTGCAATTGTACGTTGTAATATTGTGTTTATTTGATGTATATCTGATGTATCTCATATAGAATGCGTTTGGTAAAGTTAAAAGAGCGCTTCAGTTTACCGGTGATCATCTTTAGCTCAGCACACGCAGCTCAAACAGCAGTGCACAACATTAATAACTATGATTGGGAATGTCGTGTATATAACATTCTAATGAGAACATTATTATAATAAAACGTTGGGAATTCTTTGGGTTTAGTTGCCGTGTTTCAGCGCGTTGATATGGGAAGAGCGCATCCACAACAGGATCACACATTCTGACTATAGCATGCAATAACTGCGTCATTTTGTACATATATAAGTTGTAATATTATGTTTATGTTGTATTAATATTAATCTCAGGATGCATTTCCTTGAGTTAAATAAGCTGCCAGCAAAACGCTTCAGTTTACCATGTTCATTCAGCTCTTCAGCTTCAGCACGCGCAGCTCAACGGCTGCTATTTAAAACAGTGGTATTAATTTGTTACTTTTTCAAAATCATTGATATATTATTAATAACAACAACCACTTGTATTGTTCTCTTATTATTTTCATCAACAATATGGTTTAGTAATTAAAATCATTTAATTATTGTCCGTGCAGAGGCTATTCCGTTTTATTGATCTGTGGCGCATTCATTTTGATTCTTTACACGTGTAATGATGTCCAATGACTTGTTTGCATTATTTATGCATTATTTTATTTGTAAGACTTTTTTATGACTAAATTTGGTAATGGGAGAGTAAAATTATTTTTAAAACATACACCGTTCAAACTAGGCTGCTTATGTTGAAGTGTTCGGGATGTGGCTTTTAATGATGAGACCTTTTTTGTAATCAGGCTCTCAAAAAGTATATAAAAATTTGGATATAGATTTATCGGCCAACATATCGGTTATCGGCTTTCAAAAATAAAGGATTATCGGTTATCGGTATCGGCCAAAATTTTCATATCGGTGCATCCCTAATAAACATCGAACGAAACAAATAGTTGCATTGTAAGCGTTTGGTAGATATCAGCTAGCATTTGTTTTTATGATCATTTCATTACCCATACCAGTTATTTTCAACATTAAAGTGTCCCATAACCACTATTCATCAGTTTTTGATTTAATCATTTTTTTTAAATAATCACTAGATAATTATTAGACTACAACAGTAGAATGCAATATGTACTATACAATTTTAACAATAATAATACTAGTACTGTTTTAGCTTACAATACATGTCAAGCAGAAAAAATATTGGCCAAACCGTTTATTATCGCTATAGGCCTAGTATTTGGTGTGATTTGTACTTATTTCATGGTATTAGTTAAATGCATGTGCTTAATTCATAGTTTCTTTTAGACCTTGGAGAATTAATATTAGCTGTTTCCTTGTAACCATTTAAGATTTAGCCCCTGTCTCATGGTACACGCTTTCTGTCATTTGCCATGTGAGACTCACAGCCTACTGATCTAATGACAGGAATACAAATTTAGGTTTCTTTCATTTTTGCCTGCTTACTTAGCTTTTTCTATTTTTACCAATTTTATTATCAGACTTCCTCACTCTTACTCTTCCTTTCCTAATTTTTTTTATCATTTTTCACCCTGCCACTGCATTTCCTCTCTACGCTCTTTACTCCTCTTTCTGTGTAAGTGCATGCAGTGTGTGTTTTTCATGACAAGAAGCTGTCACCCTGTATTCACTCCTCATCCGGCGGGGCAGTTCATTTGAGAACAGAACTGTAAATTAGTGGCTGCCAGCGTGCCGTCGAGCCCAAGAGTGAATGTAATGCCTGAATGAATAACTACAGGCCTTTCTGCCTGCTTTCCTCGATGTGCCGTGTATGTGCTGTCCTCGGTCCTCAGTACTGCAGTCACACTTACCACTTAGCATCTTTTGTATTTCAGTGCCGTGGGTAAGACATGCCTGCTCATCAGCTACACCACTAATGCCTTCCCAGGAGAGTATATTCCCACAGTGTGAGTAGTTTGATACTTTGAAACAGGAATTATTCCTGTGTGTCTTTGCAGTTTACTTCTGTGGATGTGTTTCTGAAATGTTCTGAAAAATCTGTGTGTGACCCTCAGATTTGACAACTACTCTGCCAATGTTATGGTGGATGGTAAACCTGTCAACTTAGGCCTCTGGGATACAGCAGGACAAGAGGACTATGATCGCCTTAGACCACTCTCCTATCCCCAAACGGTGCGTAAATATCTCCGTGATTGGCTGTGTAATCCGGAGTCGAAAACTTTTTGACAGTGTTTTTTGTTTAGTCAAGATGCTTATTTTTTTTTCTTTTACTCATTACTAGACTTCATTAATTATAACTTTTGGACTCACTCATGCACAGTCTGTTCTTTGTTTTGTAAATAAACAGCAATACATTTTGGTACAGAGACTAGTTTTGTCATTTCTTTTGAGCACTGGGCAGGGATTTGGGCATGTATCCAAATGAATTATTTGTTTGTTCAAATATATACAATGTTTTTGAAAAATATGAATCCCCCCACCTTTCCTCTGTCCTTCATTATGAAAATGTACATTACCGTTCAAAGGTTTGGGGTCAGTAAGATTTTTTATTCAGCAAGGACACATTAAACTGATCAAAAGTGACACTGCAAAAAAAAATTCTCTTACTTAGTATTTTTGTCTTGTTTTCTAGTATAAATATCTAAAAATTCTTGAATCAAGATGAATTTACTGTACAAGTAAAATTACTTAAGATATTATGTCTTGTTTTCTGTAAAAAAATATCTAAATTTTGTTAGTTTTTCCTTAAATAAAGCAAAAATATCTGCCAATGGGGCAAGAAGAATTATCTTGTTTAGCCTTTGAATTAAGATAATTTTTCTTACCCCATTGGCAGATATTTTTGATTGTTCTAAGCAAAAACTAACAACATTTTGAGAATTCTTTTGAGACTTAATATCTTAAAGGCACAATATGTCATTTTCGCCGCTGGAGGTTTATTTATTCAAAACAAACAAATAGACAAAGGCGTAGGTGACTGAGTGTGGAATCATGGGAGTTGTGGTCTTCATCCCCACAGTCGATGCAATCCGACGGGACTCGGGCAGAAATCATGTTCATGGATGAGCTAATGATTTATTAATGTAGTAGTATGAAGCAGGGTGAGGCTGAAAGCCGTCGAAGCGAAACGAGGCGCTGAACGAGCGTGACACACGGCTCGAAAGCAGCGGAGCTTTTATTATGCCACAGTCGACCGCTTCCGCTCCTCCCGGTCGTGCGTATGTGGGGAAAAAAAGCAGCGCTGTTTTATCAGACTAGATACAGTACATTCTATTAAAACGCACAACATATTAAAGCGTCTTTGGTGTTTCCATGTAATCGAGGGGTTATGACGTCATTGGCAGGCGACACAATGACACTGGACACGCTCCGTGTTACTAGTTAAAATTGCTTATTTCTCTGGATTTAAACATTCTTCGAAACATTTGGGATAATGTAAGTACACAAGTCAGCAAAATATATAACACTGTTCTAGTGGTTTTATTTTAATAAAAAAATCTTACATATTGTGCCTTTAAATCATTTTAATTGTCAAGTAAATGCATCTTGATTCAAGAATGTTTCGATATTTATACTAGAAAACAAGACAAAAATACTAAGTAAGAAAATCTATTTTTGCAGTGTATAATGTTACAAAACATTTCTATTCCAAATAAATGCTGTTCTTAACTTATTATTCATCAAAGAATCCTGGACCAAATGTATAATTGTTTCCACAAAACAAATTCAACTTTGCCATTACAGGAATAAATTACATTTAAAAATATATTCAAATAGAAACAGTTATTTTAAGTTGTAATAATACATCTAAATGTGTTATTTAAATAAATGCAGCCTTGGTGAGCATAAAGAGCTTCTTTTAGTGCATTAATATATCGTACAGACTCCAAACATTTGAGCGGTACTGCGCTTTCTTCAAATGATAAATGATTTAAAAAGGTTATAAAAAGTTTTTAAAAATGATTCTTCTGTTTTCTGACAACCTCAGCATTATATAATGCAGTGTAATCAGAAATGAATAATTGATGACATTGATTTTTACAAAGAGTCTCCTTTGCTTTCTACAGGATGTGTTTTTAATTTGCTTCTCACTGGTGAGCCCTGCTTCCTTTGAGAATGTAAGAGCAAAGGTTAGTATCCACTGAAGAATAAGAAATATTTCTTGAGCATTTGGATTCCTTAACAAGATCCACAAGCTATTATGGTGCCTTGTGTTAACCAGATTTCTCTTTGTAGTGGTACCCTGAGGTTCGCCATCACTGTCCAAACACCCCCATCATACTTGTGGGCACTAAACTTGATCTGCGAGATGACAAAGACACGATTGAACGTCTGCGGGATAAGAAACTAGCTCCCATCACTTATCCGCAAGGGCTTGCTATGGCTAGAGAGATTGGTGAGAATGTTTTGTTAAATATGTATATGGTTTATTTCCTTTTTTTAAAAACTAACCTACACTGAAAAAAAATTGGTGTAGAAACAATTTTCATAAAACAAATTGCTAGTAAATTTTACAAATAAAATTTGCTAGTGAAATTAATTAAACGAGAAGATTTGAAGTACAAAAACTGAAATATATATGTATCAAACTTACTTAAATAGTCTTTGTTTACAACTTTAAAAAATCTATATTTTTTACAGTTTAGAACTTTTTCAATGTGCTATAATAGTGTTATGGCATTGCCATGGGGAATAGTATCGTGTATAGTTGGCTCATTGAAATCTTTGGCTTTGTAGGTGCTGTGAAGTATCTGGAGTGCTCTGCTCTTACTCAACGGGGTTTAAAAACAGTGTTTGATGAGGCCATCCGCGCTGTTTTATGTCCTCCACCTGTAAAGAAAAGGGGCAAGAAGTGTACTGTATTTTGAGAAACACCGCAACTCATTTCTTCATTGATATGCCATGTAAACAGTGGGCTCTTGCTCTTCAGCTCTCCTGTTAGCAACAGATAAATCCAGCTTGTGAGGTGACAAACTGCAGAGACATGCATTTCCATGGTGTGTCTGGTATAACAGATATATTTGACCCTGGACCACAAACCCAGTCACAAGGGTCAATTTTTGAGAAAAATTCTCAAAATCTCTGAAAGCTGAATAAATAAGCTTTCCAGTGATGTATGGTTTGTTAGGATAGAATAATATTTGGCCGAGACACAACTATTTGAAAATCTGGAATCTGAGGGTGAAAAAAAATCTAAATATTGAGAAAATCGCCTTTAAAGTTGTCCAAATGAAGTTCTTAGCAATGCATATTACTAATCAAAAATTACGTTCTGATAAATTTACAGTAGGAAATTTACAAAATATCTTCATGGAACATGATCTTTATTATTGGCATAAAAGAAAAATCAATAATTTTGACCCATACAATGTATTTTTGGCTATTGCTACAAATATACCCCAGCGACTTGAGACCGCTTTTGTGCTCCAGGGTCACATATCAACATAAATATGCCAAATTTGCTTTGTTTTTATTAAACTTTGCCTTAAATTGTTGGTTTAATGTGAAAATTTATTGGAAGAGAATGACATAAGGCCATGGCATCAGGATGAATAATTAGTTACTAAAGAACACGCATAGCTAACTGTAAAGTTCTTTGCCGTTGCAACAAATGTTACATTTTTCAGAGCTTATTGTGTGGAAATCGTGACTATTCATATTTTATCTGCACATAATTTTGGGATCTGTGAATGTGTCAGAAGATTATGTACATAGATATTTTGCGACTTAAATGTGTGGCCATAGTTAATGCTCTCACTTGAGGGGTGACGGCAAATGCATTTTTAAGTATTTTACTTTCAGCTTTTATTGCCTGTTAAACATTTCATACAGTACCTGTGTTTTAATGTAACTATTTGATAATTTGTTAAACAATGACAGAAATATTACACACTGAAATATTTGTTAGCCTATAAAGTACTATTATTAGATACTATAAACAGAAATAATACTATATAAAATAAGCTGTAATCACAATTGTCTGTAATGTTTAATGGACTACATACTGCAACTTACAATGAAAACCATTTTGTGTAGATTGTACATCTAGTTTAAAAGTCTTTATTATTATAATTTTTTTTGCTAAACATTTTCCTATATATTTTGATATGTTTCAAACATGATGAAGTGTGCCATTACTGATTTTTGTGCTGGGCTAACAAAATGTTTTAACAGTTGTAAGTGTTCAGATGATTCTTTGAAATGTTCTTTAACCTTTTAATGATTAATATTTCAATTTTAATGAGTTGTTAAAAATGTGTGTATGTGTGCCATTTGAGCATATATGCTTTGTTAGTATGCATTAACATTAGGCATTTTTGTTTTTATTGAACTAATGACTGGCACATACAGTACATAATCTCAGTCGCAGTTTCAGTTCTTGCCAAAAAAAATAAAATCAGTACGAGTGAGACATCATTGTGAAGGTGTGGTTGTGGCTGTTGTGTGGTCTTTTATTCATTTGCTAAGTAACATCTGGATACTGTACAGCCAATGGGTCATTATCTCAAAATAAACTCTTCAGTGTACAATATCCTTTACATAACTAGACTTAACCAACACCCAAACTAAGGTGACCAGATTTCTGACATGGAAACTAGGTACATTACCTAGTTCAGTGGTAAATAGCAAAAAATTGAAATCTCAATGTTATTATCTATAAATTAAAATACAGAAACAAGATTTTATTGTTGTTGGTTCCATACAGGGGCGTAGATTTGTCCCCCACACTTTTAATACGAGCTCGTAAGTCAGAGCGGCCCTCAGGACGCGACAAGTTTAGCGACAGCGCGCCTCTATCCGCCCGAGGAGCGAGACCAATGCCGTTTCGACAGTGAACACAGCCAATAGAGCTGTTTTGGTTTACACCCAAAGCGGTCCAGTAGGCTTTCTCGGGGTCGCTTGTGAAACACTTGGGTAGAAAGTTTCTTTAGCCGGCTAAGTGTGTTTAGCAAGCTATCTCGTTATCAAGCTGTCTGTTTTGTATCATTTAGAAAGTGTGCTTGAAATTCAGGCTGTGTTTCAAAGCATAGTACGTTTTGCCTGGCTGGAACGCATTTTATGCTTCGGTTAAACTTCATATGAGGCTCTAAAATACTGTCTAGGTAGGCTGCTCACTAGATTTTGAGACACATCCTCTATCATTTGCTTGCAGAGGTTAATATGGAGCACTGACTATTTCAATTTAAGCCTGATCTAGTTTTACTGACCAAAATGATTAAACCCTGTGGAGCTGCTCATATTTTATTGAGCAGTATTTCAGTTTTAGAAACCGTAGCTAGATTCAGTTATATTAGACTGTCATTGATGAGCGTGTGCGTTATAATGTAGTTAATCAAGAATGACAGCCCAGGCCATTTAATGCAGTGTTATGTCATCTTAAAAAATATCGGGTGTTGGAAAGCTTGTGTGGTTAACGATGTAACCGTTCATTCAAGATGGGTGGACAAATGCTGTTTTAGAAAATCTGTTATTGAAAAACCAAAATGTTTGAGTCGTAAGATGAAATTTGGTGGGGATGTGTGTGTGTCCCTCCCATTGCCTTTTGTGGTTATGAATCTGTGTCAGAATGTTGCATGTGAGAAGCCAGTGTGTACTTGTTGCTGCCACTTTTTTCATCTAATGGATATCTTTAAACCCGCCTCACTTCTGAAGTTGAAACATTCTTCAATTTGTTTGGTTTATATTTATGTGTTCATTTCAGCAACTTTGACTTGTTTTTGTCTCGGAGCTGCTGCCACCCCAGTGTGATTTTATAAGCATCCGCCTTCTTGCAGGAGTATTTTCAGTCAGGTCAGCAGGATGCTGAAGGGCAGGCTCAGGGCAAGCTTGAATTTGCCAGTCAGATCAGCCTCGTCCTCATGGGTAGAGCTGAACTTCAGCGGTCAAAGCAGCGTGTCTGATCTGTTCATGGATTTTACTGCCGGATTCAGTGTGTACAGCTCAAGCTCCTCATCATACTCACTGGAGGTAACCACACAATGAAGGCAGATAGGATGTGAAGCCATCTGAAAGCCTTGGAGCTGTCACTCAGTGTTGTGGTATTATGTTTTTCTTTCCACACAAGATTTGTTTGGTGGTAAGGATATAGGTTCCTCGATGTCCGATTTTGTTCACCTACACTTGAATACATTCCTCCAGTGCAGCGTGTTAAACATGGTGTTTCCTGTATTAACAGGGGTCTGTAGAGCCCATGCAGATAGATGCTGACCCTCAGGAAGACCAGCAGAATGCGCCTGACACCAACTATGTTGTGGAAAACCCGACATTGGTATGTATCATTGTATACACTTGTGTACTCGCTTCCTTAAGCTGTTCGCTATTATAAATCATTAACCTCTTATTTTTGAATTATTTTTAACAAAATATCATGCAGCATCTAAATTCTCTTGTTGTTTTGATCATTTTCAGAATCACAGAAAAAGTTGTACTTTTTTTGGTAGAGATTCCATCTAATAACCAGTAAATGGCTGATATTACAATTATATATTGTAATAATTTGATATTAAAAATAAAAAACAGTTTTAAATGCTTCATGGGGATTTAGGGATCACAGCATTATAATTTAAAGTAAAAAAGATTTTCATTTTGAGATTTGCTAAAGATGCATTTGACATTAAATTATTAATGTCATTTGTATTTACCTCAGTGTTATTTTAATATTGTTATAGCATTTATTAATATTTTAAATTTGTAGTTTTTTTTATAGTTTCACATTTAATTTTAATGTTAGTTTAAGTTTGAGTGATTTTATGTGCTTTTGTAATTTTTATTAGTTTTCATTTTTAATATTTCCATTTAGCTTTAATTTATTTTTATTAAAGTTTTAGTAATTTATAGTACTTGTATTTAGCTTCCAAGGCAACATATCTATGTTTAGTTTTTTGTTGTTGTTGTTGTTTTTCATCTTAAATTTATACTTTATTTCAGCTTTATTACAATTAACAAAACTATTGTAATAGTTTTTGTATAAAGAGTGACAACACTGCTTCAACATTGCCATTATCTAATGCTCATTTAATTTAAGTATAAAAAATTGGGGAAATGAGCATCTGTCATATTGTTTGGCCATCAATATAGCGCTGATCTAATGCCAGTCACAAAGTTTTTTGGGACTTTGATGAACTGAGAGCTGACTTTATTTTTGCACAGGATCTAGAGCAGTATGCCTCCAGTTACAGTGGGCTGATGAGGATCGAGAGGCTGCAGTTTATTGCAGACCACTGCCCCCAGCTACGAGTGGAAGCACTGAAGATGGCCCTGTCCTTTGTCCAAAGAACCTTTAATGTTGATGTCTACGAAGAAATCCATCGCAAACTCACTGAAGCCACAAGGCAATTCAAGTTCATTTCTTTTCTACAACCAAACATGGTTTCCTCATGTAAATATTACATGCATGACTTTGAATAAGTTTGTTCTTAAAATGTTTGTCAACACAGGGATGTGCAAGGTGTCCCAGATGCTGTACCGGAGGGGGCAGTTGAACCCCCTCCTCTCGACACAGCCTGGGCAGAATCCACCAGGAAAAAAGCCCTGCTCAAACTGGAGAAGCTGGACACCGACCTTAAGAACTACAAGGGAAACTCCATCAAGGAAAGCATAAGGTAAGGCCAGACTGAATGTCTGTCATTTTTTATTGTCTGTGATGCTGTGCCTGTTTTTACATCTGCATGTGTTCAGGAGGGGTCATGATGACCTTGGAGATCACTATCTTGACTGTGGTGACCTCAGCAATGCCCTGAAATGCTACTCCCGGGCCAGAGACTACTGCACTAGCGCCAAGCATGTCATCAACATGTGTCTTAATGTAATCAAGGTATGGGCTTTTTGTCTTCTCTGACCATCAACTGATGTGTTTAATGATGATACAATATTCATGAAAGAGCATACAGTTTTTTTTTTATTATTATTGCTTAAAGCTTAATTTCAAGCATAAAATCTCAAAATTCAGCCTGCATATAGCAGAATTTTCTGTTTTACGGTTTTGAATCTTTTTGGTGTGGATAGCTTAAAAATTCAAGCAGTCTCTAACAACTGATCCAAACAACCTTAATATTTTATAGGTTAGCGTTTACCTCCAAAACTGGTCCCATGTACTTAGCTACGTCAGCAAGGCTGAATCCACTCCAGAGATAGCAGAGGTAGGAGCAACCTTTCATTCTGGTTTACTAAGCTAAGAAATTTCAAAAGAGAATGAATCTACAATTATAATTTTTGTGTATCTCTGCAATCTAGCAACGAGGAGAGAGAGATAGTCAAAACCAAGCTGTTCTAACCAAACTGAAATGTGCTGCAGGCAAGTACTTTATTTGTATTTCAAGTATGTGAAGTTTATTTATCTTTGAAATGTAGACACATGCGGAATCATTATTTTAGTCTGTTTTTAACAATGTGTATACATACTCAATGTATTAACAATTTATATTAAAAAATTTATATATATATATGTGTGTGTGTATTATTTATTTCATGAGGAATTTGTATGATTATTGTAGTCACATTTTTTGTCAATTCCTGAGTTATACTGTAAGTCATGTAAAAATGGTTTTGACCTTTCTTTTGATTTGATATTATCGTCTCTCTTGTGACAATAGGATTGGCAGAACTTGCCTCAAGAAAGTATAAACCGGCTGCCAAGTGCTTCCTGCAAGCCTCCTTTGACCACTGCGACTTCCCTGAGGTTGGTGTCATTTTTAACTTTGTTCTAATGCCACACCAGATATTTCTAATAACACCGTTGAAGATAAATAAGATACAGTGTGTAATGAGAAGCTCTGTTTGCTCTCTAGCTACTTTCCCCCAGTAATGTAGCAGTGTACGGGGGGCTGTGTGCCCTGGCTACATTTGACAGACAGGAACTGCAACGAAATGTCATCTCAAGCAGGTGAACCTTTTGCACCTTCAAACTAGGTGTTCTAATGAACACAAGAGGTAGATTGTTACTGGTTACATGTGGATAAAACCTAATTGATTTAATTTTACTCGCCCTTTGTTTTTTAGCTCCTTTAAATTATTTTTAGAGTTGGAACCACAAGTCCGTGATATTATCTTCAAGTTTTACGAGTCGAAGTATGCATCTTGTCTGAAAATGCTGGATGAAATGAAGGTGAGTTTATTGATGTGTGCCGAGTTGCTAGGTTTTGATTTAGCGAAGTTTCAGACACTGATTCTTTCTGTTGTCATTTTTGTTGGGATGTTATGATTCATAAGTGTTTTATTTGATGTATTATAGGATAATCTCCTCCTAGACATGTATCTGGCCCCTCATGTAAGAACACTGTACACACAAATCAGGAACAGAGCCCTCATACAGGTATGTAAAGGGATATGTGGTTTTGGTCTATGAATTTTATTTAGTTGCCGAACTTTGACTTCTATTTAATCTGATTCCTTTAATGGAATAGTTAGTCCAAAAATGATAACTGGATGAGTAAATGATGATCTTCATTTTTGGGTGAACTATCCCTTTAAATCAGTAGAATTCACAACAGCAGTGTTTAATATGTTCTCAAAAAGCCATATTGACACATGCACATGATCAATGAACATCAGGTCATCCCTGTTTTTGAGACCTGCTTGACATAATTATATTGATATGGAATGCTGAATGTGAGTTAAAAGTGTAAATGCCATAAGATAATATCGACTCCTAAAGTATTAACATAGCTGCACTTACATGACCAATCGATTAACTTTGTCTTGTATTTTCCACGGGCAGTACTTTAGCCCATATGTGTCAGCAGACATGAACAAAATGGCCGTGGCCTTTAATACCACAGTGGCAGCTCTGGAGGATGAATTGACCCAGCTGATCCTGGAGGGCCTGATCAATGCTCGTATCGACTCCCACAGCAAGGCAGGGCTGCACTCTCTCATTTGTCACCCTGGCACTTCTTTTTCTGGAACATTGTTCCCTTTTCTTGTTGCTAAGCTAAAATATTTTGGCTGATTTTTCTATCAATACCTTTCAGCATTGACTGAATTATATTTATAATCTACTTTTCTCTTGCTTTGTCATTAAGCACCTTACCTTGAATAAAACATGCCATATTGCCTTTTTGCCTAAAACAAAGGACTGTTCTAGAAACAGGCTTTGGTGAAGATTTTGCATTAAAACCTGAGGTTCACCTGCTAATTGAAAACTGTGTTTGTAGATTCTGTATGCCAGGGACGTGGATCAGAGAAGCACAACCTTTGAGAAGTCTCTACAGATGGGCAAAGAGTTCCAGAGACGAGCGAAAGCCATGATCCTGCGGGCAGCTGTGCTTCGTAATCAGATACACGTCAAGGTAACAGGGTCCCCAGGGTAACGTGTCCTCACTCTGCTCTGCTCTTCACCTCACCATCACCTGACCATCTCCTTCCCCTCAGCATGAGTGTCTCTGAATTTCTGAGTCACTGTCAAAGCACTGCATTTATTAAAGCAGTAACACATCTGAGGATACGTCATTAATATTGTGATGCTGTAAGATGAAGCTGTTTTCTTCACATTGATGTGACTCATATAAAGTTGCCTCAGCTGTATTACTGCACTTATAAGCAAACTGCATATGAGTTTTGTTGTACTAAGTGCATGTTAAATTGATATTCTCGGTTCATTTTAGGCTAATCTCAATTGACAGCACTTGTCTCTCATTTTCTTTGAAAAAAAGTAAAGAAATCTGGGTCACAGTGAGGCACTTGCAATAGAAATGAACGAGGCCAATCCAAAAATGTTAAAGTACTTGCTGTTTTAGCAGTATAACCAAAAGAAGTAGACAGTATGTGTCTATGTGAAATTACGTTTGTTAAAAAAAAAAAAGAGTTGGGATCAGTAAGAAGAATATGCTGTTCTTTTGAACTTTTTATCCACCAGAGAATCCTGAAAAAATGTATCAATGTTTCCACTTAAATATAAAGCGTCACAACTGTGTTCAACATTGATAATAATTAGACATTTTTCTTAAACATCAAATCAGTATATTAGAATGATTTCTGAAGGATCATGTGACTCTGAAGACTGGAGTAATGATGATGAAAATACAGCTTTGACAGTAGAGGAATAAATTATTAAATAAAGTATATAAAAAATGTATTGTAAATTATGTACTGAAATTATACTGTTAATGTTGCCATGAATATAACCATTGTTGCTGATATGGCATTAAGATATAAATAAATGTTAACATTTGAAACAGTTAAGTTGTAATAATATTTGACAATTACTATTTTTACTGTATTTCTGATCAAATAAATGCAGCCTTGATGAGCATGAGTGACTTCTTTTAAAACATTAAAATACTTACTCACTCTAAACTTTTGAATGATAGTGTATATACAATTTTACAACTGTTGCAAAGACCTCATAGCTTAAACCCTAAAATGACTGTATAAATCAATAGAACGACTTTATAGCTAAAATAATAAACACATTTTTATTAAAGAATTAATGTCAGTGCTTTAAAAAATAAACTATGGATTGGCCCCATTTGCTTCCATTGTAAGTGCCTCTCCATAACCTCAAATTTTGCATTATTTTTCTTTATATAGTCTTTTTTAAAATCAACATTATGCCACAAATGCTGCCGATTGAGCTTAAAGGGTTAGTTCACCCAAAAATGAACATTCTGCCGTTAATTACTCACCCTCGTGTTGTTCGAAACCCGTAAGACCTTCGTTTATCAGTTACGTAAAGTTACGACAGTATCATGACGCGAGTGTGTAGCGGCGCCGGCGCTGACCCAGACGTCATCACGCCGGATCTGGGTCAGCACCGCCACACACTCGCGTCATGATACTGTCATATCTTTACAGTTGAACCACTGATGTCACACGGACTACTTTGTCGATCATCTTGGTACTTTTCTAGACCTTGAATGTGGTAGTTACCTTGCTGTCTATGGGACAGTCAGAGAGCCCCCTCATATTTCATCAAAAATATGTTAAATTGTGTTCCGAAGATGAACGAAGGTCTTACGGGTTTCGAACAACACGAGAGTGAGTAATTAATGACAGCATTTTCATTTTTAGGGGAACTAACCCTTTAATTTGTATTGAACCGGGAATTTTGTATTAAATCAATCCCCTAGCTATTTCATCAAAAATATGTTAAATTGTGTTCCGAAGATGAACGAAGGTCTTACGGGTTTCGAACAACACGAGAGTGAGTAATTAATGACAGAATTTTCATTTTTAGGGGAACTAACCCTTTAATTTGTATTGAACCGGGAATTTTGTATTAAATCAATCCCCTAGTTTATTGCATGTAGGCAATCAACTAGATGCAAGTTGCTTTAATATGTGTGGAAAAACTATTAGCTCCCTGAGAAAGAGCTACAAGAATACCCCTAGTCTTCATCTGTCATTCTTCACCAACTCCAGCATGCGTTTCCCTATCAATCTGTTTTTCCCGCTCTACATGATGCTTCTCACTGATCCCTTTCATTCCTTTCACAGTCCCCTCCAAGAGAAGGCAGTCAAGGGGAGCTCACACCTGCCAACAGCCAAACACGAATGAGCACCAACATGTGAAGGCTCGACCAGATGCCTCTCCTAGGAAAGTACACGGGGCCACTGCCGCATCCTAGGCCCCCCCGTTTAGAAATCAATTATTTCCCTGCTGAAGAGAGAAAAATCACAATCTAAAGACTTTATTTAAGTTGGGAAGAAGATATCTGTTGTCTGTATTAAAGACAAGCACACCCTGTTGCTCAAATGAAAAGGAAAAAAAGATAAAAAGAGAAATGCGGCGGTTAAGCTGTACTGGCCTGTTGTTCTTTGTAAAGGATGCACTTTCCTCTGTATCTTGTGACAAACCTTGATTACACATTGAGAAACCTCATCACGAAACATGCTTTTAAAATAAACATACATTCAAAAAGATGCTTCAACCCGGAAAGGTTCTTTCTCCATGTGTTACTGATGCTGCAGTCGGAAATGCAGTTTCATTTGAAGACGTTCAACAATTGCAGCATCATCTCTGTTTACTAACTTCTCTGTTGTATTGTGTTCTGCTGTTTAAGTAAGATTGTTACTCCAGTGAATCATCATCAGCTGGTTGGTGACCTTCAACAAAGGTAGATTTTATTTGCTTTTATGGCCTTGAATAAACGATACCTAGAAACGTTTAAAAACTATTCAGTTTTTGGTCATATTTTTAGAAAAGGAGAAAGGCAACTTTTAACACTTCAAAATTTATTTGAGCAAAATTTCCAAAATGTTTGAACTATACTAAGCCCAAGGAACTGATGAGAAAAAAAACATCCACACCGAATAGCCACATATCTGTACACACATTTACATTTAGAGATTCATTCAAGGGTGTTTCTGAGCAACTGTCCCACATCTTAAGAATAAGGCACTGAGTTGAGTCCTGATGCTTTAAAGTACTGTGTGAAAAAATAACATATTGGCCTATAATGAAAAGAAAATGTCATGTTGAAGCAAAGTTGTATGAAAAGGGCATACTTTTTTGAAACACAAAGAATTAAGATAAAAGGCAGTACAATAATAGCAATTGTAGGGTAAGGCATCTGAATCTGACAACATCTTTAAAAAAAAAACAATTTACTGGGAATCTTTGTAGTGTAACTGTCCTCATCTCTACAATAAATGTCAGTATGTGTGTGTGAAACAGTCACATGATCATAACCGCACTGGAAAATAAGTAGAGGTCTCGGATTAAAAATGAATTTATATACATGTTCCAAAAAAAAAACGTAAAAATGCATTAAAAGTCAAAGATGTTTGACTCTGGTTGCAACATATAACTATGCCCAATCTTTCATTTTGGAAGACAATAAATATAGTAAAAATACAGTTCAAATAATGTTCGAGTGAAGATGTCCATCAGTGTATTGGTGTATTTCCACAGAACGTCCCGAAATAAAAGTCCAGCTCCTCTATCTTAGGTGAGCGGGGAGCAGTACAGGATTGTGCATTCAGAGCAGCTGCTTCATATACCACGCTCCCAGTAATTATCAAAATATACTACTCTAATAAACCATCTTAAAATATTAAGACTATGGAACTATTCACCCGACAGCAGTCCAGAAAGTGGTACTTCATTACAGAAAAGAATGACTCTACAAATGATCCAGTGTAAGTAACAGTAGCACTGATCTTTCCATGTCTGGTTCTTTGCATGTTTAGTTAATTTGGTGTCATATGGATCCAAATCGCACCTCAACAGTGAAAAACAATCCCTGTATCATTCGATCATTCGTTTTTTGATTTAATATTGAAAGTAGAAAAATGAGAAAACGGCTCCTTTTTCGTATTTTCCCAAAACACCATCAAACAAACAGGCTAATGAATAGCTCGACACAACTCATGGGCAGAGTCTAGACAGGTCTTTCTTCTGTGTAGATATAAATTATATTCTTTGCATCAGCTGGGCATGGCAGGGTATGATATGACAGCTGTCTTAGCCTACCCTGCTCACCCAGTAAGTCTGTTTGTTTTTTTGTTTAATTAAGAAATTCATTATTTTGTTTCAAAATAAATTTTAAACACTAAGACAAAAAGGAAAGAATAATAAATTGGCTTGGGTATATATAGGCCTATGTTCACGCAAGAACTGTCATTTTGACTGACAACCGGAGAACAACAGATATTAAATAACCTACTGTTAGAGTTATATAATGTAGTCTTGTGTTTTATTAAAATTGATATATCTCAAAAGGATATGCACTTGTGTGCAGCGTGAGCCGCTGCGCACTCGCACTGCAACGCAAGATTTTCATTAAATATAATAGCTTGCCATTTTGGTTTGTTTCTTACCAAACCCTCAGTATAGGCCTACCTTCAGAATGCTTGGAATATACGCCACGAGATGCATAGGATTATTTTACGACAGATATCCATCCGCTTCAAAAAAAAGACTAAAGTCACCATTCTCTGCCATTAAATTGACAAGTGCGAGCAGGAAATTTTTGTGTTATTAAGTAATAAGCCTTTAGAACAACATTAAGGTGAAAAAAAAAAAAAAGAAACGAAAAACGAGCCGTTTTCTCATTTTTCTACTTTCAATATTAAATCAAAAAACCAATGATCGAACGATACACGGATTAAAAATCAGGTTTGGCCTCAAATGCAGTCCTGTACTTCTAATTCAGTGCAGCAATGTTAAGTGGTAAACCAGTTCAATGTGTTTTCAGACGTCACTGTTGTCCACATCCAGTACAGTCTGCTTTACAAAGGATCATGGGCTGCAGTGGAAACTGTCTGACTGTTGGGATTCCCATTCGTCAGCCCACCACCTGTATCAGAGTTAGACTGTTTTAAAGCCTTGGTTTTGAATCTCAATCCATGGCCTGTAACCCAACAATGAACAGAGCAAACAGTTAGTCTTATAGAAGTGGTAGGACATTACAAGTTACATTCAGATACATGCTGGTAAGGAGATTACATCATCAGAACAATAGTGTTTTAATTTTAACATTCTTAGAAGTAAATTCAGCTTCCTATTAGGCTCAATATTTACACAATGATAAAATATTTTAGCAAATAGGATTCTAATGCCCCATTCCTTACAGTATTAAGTCACTAAACATTTCCAAACTAACTCCTCAGCTATGGAACATGTTGCCACCCTATATAAGAACTGCACCAACATACACTGATTTTAAGTCTCTTCTTAAAACGTATTTATTTACTGTTGCATATGGTCATAAGTAAGCGCAGTGGCATAACTGTAGTGTACTATCTGTCGTTGTGTTCTATGTTTACTTTTGTATTTTGGTATATGCTTAAATTTTGTACAGCACTTTGGCCAACAGCTGTTTTTAAATGTGCTCTATAAATAAAATTGACTGACTGACTAACTTGTTCACTTGTGAAGCTATTTGTGAGTGTTACTGATCAAGTCACTGTGCGCTTCATACACAGTGAAACAGCTGCTTGATATACTAACCCAGACAATCAGCCACTTCCTTGAAAGCCTTCCTCTTGCAGCAGCCACGGCACAAGTTGAACACACATTTATTACCCTGTTGATTTTTAAAAAGCACACGAAATGGTTCTGTAAACACTTCAAACATGAGTACATTATAGCACTAAAATCATCAGATGAAAGAAAAGAATCAAAAATCTTACTTTAGGGTTTCCACATTGCTCACACTTGATGTATTTAGCTGCAGAACACAAGGATGCAAAGGCAATGTTATTGACCTTAATCAATATATGTTAGCCAATATCTTTATGATAATATATTACCATTTAAAAGTGACAGTAAAGACGTTTATAGTGTTACAAATAATTTCGATTTCAATTTTAGAATCCAGAAAAAAAAAGTTTCAGTTTCCATAAAAATATTAAGCAGCACAACTGTTCCCAACATGGATAAGAAATGTTTCTTGATCAGCAAATCAGCATATTAGAATGATTTTTGAAGGATCATGTGACACTGAATAAAATAAACCTTACTGACCCCAAACTTCTGAATGGTAGTGCATGTCTAATAAACTTTTTTTTTTTTTTCATATCCTTTTTTTTTTTTTTTTTAATAATTTTTTTCTATTTTATTATTTGAAGGTTACAATAATGTGCACTGTGCCATCATCAATGTCACTTAAAGGCCCCATTAAGTCAGTGGGCTTTGGGAAATATTGGGAACAGATTTATCCTTACGCTTCAGCTCTGGACAGAAGTTCTTGTGGGGGTTGCGGGCTTTCTTCTTCTGCTTGTTCTTGGAGAGCGAGTCGTTGGGTGCATCGCTGTCCTCCAGCGCCCTCTTCACACTCACAGCTTTGGTTTCTGATGCTCTCTGCCCATTTTCAGTGTTTGGATCCTTGGGCCTACAAAATATACCAGCTTCACAATCATGTTCCAATGTTATATTCAAACTAGTTTATGTCTATCATGGACAGAAAAGATTTCTTTGAACCTTGGCTTTGGCCCATTCAGTAAGTGTCAAAAGATTATGACTGATATTATACTGTTTTGCTGAGACCACAGAAATAGTATAATTGTGATGGTTTCTTCATATTCACACAAGACCCAATCAGAAAACATGTCCTCACGGTGGTCTGACGTAGGGTTGACAGATCCAGTGAGGGAAGGGAAGTCCAGTCCGAGTCCATTCTGATTCATCTTTAGCCATCTCCTGCTGTAACAGTAAAAAGCAACTGCTCTCTCAAACTCTGTCATAAGCTTTATAAATATTTCTGTCTGAATAAAGTTGGACTATGATGAATTTGTAATCCACAGAGTTCCTTTACCTGGCAACGTTGTTTCAGTTGTCTGTTGACCTCGGCAATCCCAGCTACGTTTTTCGCTTTGGCCAGCTCCTCCCTCAGGTCTTGATGTATCTGTAAGCTGTTGTAATAAAAAGACATACTTATTATTATACAATTCACCAGTCATCACCTTCCTGTTTGGGGTCGGCAAAATTTTTAAATGTTTTTGAAAAAAAATATTTTATGCTCAAGGCTGCATTAAAAACAGCAATATTGTAAAATATTATTACAATTTAAAAGAAATATTTTCCACTGTACTATATTTCACAAAGTAATTTATTCCACTGATGTCAAAGCTGAATTTTCAGTTGCTATTACTTCAGTCTTCAGTGCATGACAGACATCTTAGAGAAAGAAACATTTCTTCTTATTATCAATGTTGAAAACTGTTGTACTGCTTCATATTTCTGTGAAAACTTGATTTCTTGATTAATATAAAGTTCAGAAAAACAACAATGTAACAACTATGTTTGCTGTCACTTTTAACCAATTGCATGAGCCCTTGCTGAATGCTATTTGCTATTAATTTCTTAAAGGTGTCATATGATGTTGCTAAAAAGAACATTACTTTGTGTATTTGGTGTAATGAAATGTGTTTATGCGGTTCAAGGCAAAAAAAAAACACATTATTTTCCACATACTGTACATTATTGTTCCTCCTCTATAGCCCCGCCTTTCTGAAACGCGTTGATTTTTACAAAGCTCATCAGTCTGAAAAGCGAGGTGTGCTCTGATTGGCCAGCTATCCAGTGTGTTGTGATTGGCCGAATACCTCAAGCGCGTGACGGAAATGTCCCGCCCAGAGCGATGAGACAAAAACATTGAAACCCATTACAAACGAGGCATTTGTTGCATCCAGTGGGGACTTAATTACTGATTATAATGATTTATACGAGTTGCGTTGCATCGCATTGCGTAAACATAAAACCATGACTGCATTTGTGATCGGAGAAATGACAAACAACAAGCCCTACTCTACACTGCCCAAAAAACTCGCTTTAAATATAAAAACTCTTTAAATATAAAAAACGTACTTACAGTTCGTGAGTCAGAACGTAGTCTACTCTACCAGGATCAGGAAACTCCATAATATGTGCTGCACACATCTGAATATTTGGTTGGTTGAAGTGTTCTGGAACAGTGTTGTAAATACAACTTAACCACTGATTTCTAGTCATGTCCATTTTTGGAAGACCAAACAAAGTAGTTTCGCTTTCACAACGAAACACAGCGTCACACACGGTGGCCTAGAGTGAGCGGCGGCGGCCTACAGTGAGCAGAGGCTGGGGGCTAGACTGAGACTTTAGTCTTTGCAACTTTACAGATCTTCTTTATGCACCAAGAGCTTGTAACACTCCAAAGAGAAAGGAAAAACTGAAATCGCATCATATGACCCCTTTAAAATCATACTAACCCCAAACTTTTGAATGATAGTATTTAATGAACTCTCTCAATTCATTAAGTGACTAAAATCTCAAGCAACAGCGAAATATCAGTGTCAAGCTTCAAATGTGAACGAACTTACGTGTGGTGCCACAGTTTGAAGATGTGAGCACGGACGTAAGACAGACTGCAGGGTGGGTGTTTCTCCACAACCCCCAGGTACTCCTCAGCCATCTCCCACACAGGTGGACTACGGCCTTCAAACAGGGCAGGATTGTGGAGATTCCCTTCTGTAAATGCAATGCGTTCATATTTTTGTATTACTGAATTAAGAAATATCAGAGTGCGAGTCTTTCTGTACAAGCGTGTTTATGAATCTTGTCTTTGTATGCATTACCTGCACTCATAACACCTTGTACTCCAGTCTCCTCCATGCATAGCTGAACATCACTCAGGTGCTGGATGTTTCCATTGGCGAAAACGGGAATGTTTACAGCCTCCCTACACAAATGCAATAAAAGGTACACCATCAGGACAAAACACTAAGAACAGTCAGCACCAGAAGTGTTGCATCTCTTACCGTACAGCTTTGATGTGCTTCCAACTTGCAATGCATGTCGAAGGACAGACTGCAGGGTGGGTGTTTCTCCACAACCCCCAGGTACTCCTCAGCCATCTCCCACACAGGTGGACTACGGCCTTCAAACAGGGCAGGATTGTGGAGATTCCCTTCTGTAAATGCAATGCGTTCATATTTTTGTATTACTGAATTAAGAAATATCAGAGTGCGAGTCTTTCTGTACAAGCGTGTTTATGAATCTTGTCTTTGTATGCATTACCTGCACTCATAACACCTTGTACTCCAGTCTCCTCCATGCATAGCTGAACATCACTCAGGTGCTGGATGTTTCCATTGGCAAAAACGGGAATGTTTACAGCCTCCCTACACAAATGCAATAAAAGGTACACCATCAGGACAAAACACTAAGAACAGTCAGCACCAGAAGCAAGTGTTGCATCTCTTACCGTACAGCTTTGATGTGCTTCCAACTTGCAATGCCCGTCGAAGCCCCCTTTTGATCTTTAGTTCTCCCATGAATTGTGAGGAGCTATAAAAAAAAAGTTAAAGATACTAAACCATCAGCAGCTGGTTCAAGAATATATGAATCGCATTAGATTGAGATTTGAGGTAATGTAGAGGTTACAGCTGGTATAACAAACAGATCAGTTCCAGGTTGGAGAGACGTAAACCTCACTCCCTCACATGGGCTCCTGAGAAAGGTGCTTAATCCCAGGTTGCTCCATGTGCGCTTTAGACAAAAGTATCTGCTATATGATAAGCAAGGGGAACACTTTACCTGGCATCCAGCCTTTTCCAGCATTTTGGCATACTTCACGGTTTTATCAATCTCTGGGAAGACCCGGATTTTGCAAGTAATGGGCACAGAGAGTTTTTCATCGGCCAGCTTAACTGTAAACGACAGCACCTGAATAAGACACATTCTCTACATGGTTCACACATCTGCACTGAGCTTATTAAAATAAGACAACTTACTCATTTTCTCAAGAAGGTCCCACTCGTCTTGAAGAAACACACCATAATGGCCTAGGAGAGAATTTATAAATGAGCCATAATGGGGAAACAGTGACGCATTTTGCTAAAATGTGAGATTTAAGTGAATAAATGAAGCAAATATTTTTAGAACCAAACTTCATGTTAAGACACTACTGCTCAAAGTTTTGGGGTCAGTATGATTTCTTCAACTGTTTTTAAAAGAAGTCTCTTATGCTCACTAAGGGTGTGTTTATTAGATCAAAAACACAGTTAAAACAGTAATCCCAGTTGAAAAACGTGCATGTCCATAATATACTTAAAGTGATCTATTTTTGCGCAATAACTTTGTGTCCCAAAATAGCACAGTTGAGTACACTTACTGTAGATGATCTTAAGTATATCTTAAGAGGTAAACATTTTTTGTATATTAAGTACAAAATTAATAGAGCACTTTAAGTACATAATGGAAGTGCACTTTTTTTCAGCTGGGATACTGTTAAATATTATTACAATTTAAAATAATAGCAATATATTTTTAGATATTCTAATACATTTTAAACATAATTTATTCCTCTGATGGCAAAGCTGAATTTCAGCATCATTACTCCAGTCTTCAATGTCACATGATCTTTCAGAAATCATTCTAATATGCTGATTTGATGCTTAAGAAAAATGTATAATTATCAATGTTGAAATCAGTTGGGCTGGTAATATAGTTGTTGGAATAGTAATGCTTTTTCCCCCAGGATTCTTCAATGAACGGAAATAAAAACCGAAATCTTTTGCAACATTGTCATTACTGTTTTTACTCTCACTTTTGATTAATTTACTGCATCCTTGCCGGAAAAAAATCTTATGAATGGTGGTTTATCTCTCACATACAACAGAAACGAAGTGTCAGCTGAGTTTTGGTACCTCTTTTCGCAATCATCTGAGGGCAACCCAAATTCAGATCGATGGCATCGCAGTAATCCTGGGTAAGTAGAGCAGCCTGGATAAACACCTCAGGATCATTGGCACAGAACTGTAAGGAGACAGCAGTGAATAACTCACACTCCATATGAACATAGTCCTCTCTGTCACCTCAAGGGGCTTACTGATGCCAAACGAGATGGAGCCCACCTGTGTGATGAGGGGTCGGTCCTCCTGGTTGACCTCGTTGTACAGGTTCTCTCGGCGGTAGTTGGCATCCCTGACGAACACCTGTGCGTGCAGCATGGGAGTGTAGCAGAGCTCTGCGCCGTGTCTGCGGCTCAGGAGCCTCCAGGCCAGCTCGCTCTGCTCCACCATGGGCGCCACCACATAGCGTGCACCCTTCAGAGTGCTCCTCCAAAACTCGAACCCACGGGGTTTCGCCATGCTGCCTGCACAGGATGAAATCCAGAGCTGGGTAGTAACTGATTACATGTAATCTGGATTACCTAATCAGATTCCAAAAATTAAGTATTAGTAATTAGATTCAATTACATTTCAAAATACTCGTAATCAGACTACAGTTACTTTTTATGGATTACATGATTATTTACACAATAGCAAAAATGTATTCATAATATATTGATTCTCCTCTTTTTCATCTTTTAAATGTTCCTTTCTAAAATATATATATATATATATATATATATATTTATATGCATACATACACACACTCAGAAAGTCTTTGGAATCAGTAACGAGTTACAATTTGTAAGTAATCTACCCAGCTCTGATGAAATCACATTTGACTAAGTGAAATGGATAATACTAAATTAACATAGCACCTAGCTTAACTGTATGCTCTAAAATGAACATTAACATAGCACGTTAGTGTTATTAGGAGTAATTTGGATCTGTCGTTGATCACTAAACATTTTGGAAAGGTGTTTCTTAGCAAAAGAAACTAAAGAGTCTGAGACCACGGGATGATTTGTGTTACATATCTGAAGAAATAAAGTGTGAAGGACAAACACATTGACAGAGCTTAACTAGAAGATGCCATTAGCTGTCCTTCTTTTAGAACAGACTGTATTGAGAGCAAAATACTTACAGTAGCGTATGAACCCGCCACAGACAGCAGCTCTATGCGGCACATGAAGTGTTGTGTGTGTCGCGGGGAAATACATCCGTGAGGAAACGATAAACCTATTGATTTATTCCGGAGATTATGACAAGATACAATATATCACAACGTTTGGAAGTGGGTTGTAAATTATGTTTTGTTCAAATGTAAAAATCAGTCATGTCATATATATATA